GATGTGTGAAAGTGTTTTTACAAGTGGATGGGGCAAATTAGTCTTTTGCCAATTAATTGTGGCAGATTTTGAAAAAGAAAAATTTAATGGCAGATTAAAAAGAAATTTGGAAAAAATGGCATTTTTGTAATATTCACTATATTAAACACTATAAGTGTCACTCGTTTTTTTTTCTCACTTGAATAATATTGATAAAATTGAACTAGAAAATGTTACATAGCAGAGGGAAAATAATTATAAACTATACAAAAATCACGATAATCTTTCTTTTTTTGTGTGTCAACTTATGAATTTTATTAACTAAAATTCGGGATTACAAAGATAAGAGGTAAGAACATCCTCTTTAATTGAAACAACACAGCAAAACATACAAAATGCAGCAGGTAATTCTTGGCAGAAGATTGACAGCGAATTGGAGCCAAAACTCGAATGCGTCGGTAGAGAAATCGCGGCATAGCTGGAATGTCGAAAATTAGTCACTCTTCGTTTTAAAAGATGTGACGTTGAAAGTCAATCCTCTCCGGACCGTGTAACGAGTCTGGTTGCTTCTTCTGACCCCATAGAGACCGCTACGCAAGAAGACAAAGCGATGAGTATGTTGGAAATTTTCCTCGATATTATTACCGAAGAAGCACCGTCTCTCATAGAAAGGGGATTTGATGAACAAATTCTTTTTCTGGGAGAGAAAGAGAATAACACGAATCTCTCCATGCCCGATATGGAGGAAATTTGAGTAGAGGCAAAGAGCCTCAACGGACTAAGTACCATCAAACGTATCAATTGCAACCAAAGAAGAAGGCTGATAAACCTTCTTATTGGATCAGGAAGCCCAAAACACTTGGGCCCAAGACTCCTAACGAAGATGGAATGGGCAAGGCCCAACTTTCCACAAAGTAGGTAGTTGTCTTTGACGACGATTGACGCGACGGGTGAGGAGGACCAGGCGAGTTCGACTAAACCCTTCGTCACGCCGGAAAGGTGCAGCTTGCCGGAAAATACCGACTGAGAGTGTGGGAGGGGGCTCGTGATGGAAGGAATCGAATGTGAAGCTAAATTTGAATTCTCTGGTTGGAGTCGGAAGATCGGAGAGAAAAATCTGAGAGGACCACCGGCATGACCGGCGAGATTCAGAATCACCGCCAAAGGAGATGTGGTTGAGTGCGGTGGATTTATGTTCGGATTAGACCCAAGCGATGGCGGATGCGGAGGAGAAGATACAATTGGCTGGGGAGGAGGATCTAGAGACATTGACTTATGAGGAGGAGCCGGATCCGGTGGATCCGGCGGAGGAGGAGATGGCATATCTGGTGGATATGGTACAGGATCTGGTGGCTCCGGTGGTGGTGAAAGTTCACGCGGCGCCGAGCGCAGCGGATCTGGTGGATTTGGGAGAGGAGCGGTCGCGGTTTGCCTCCTCGTCACCATTCCGAGAAAAGAGTCGATGGCTTTACACGAGAGGTGGTTCACCGAAGAAGCGGCTCCAGACGACGGAGAGAGGGAGACATAAGCGATACACGGTTTTCTTACATTTTTTTATTTGTTCTAAAAGTTTCACGATAATCTTTCTTGAACTCACAAATTGATGAAAATGAGATTTTAGTACGATCCCACATTAATAATCCAAACAATGCTTTGTTTTAAGTCATTTTGAGTGGCCACCAAACAAAATTCCCGCACAATAATTTTTGAAGACGGGTTTTAAATATTTTTGCGATAACTTGACAACAAAACTTGGCATTTTTCGAATAAAATGAGTCTCCTTCGATGCTTTGTCTTTGTTAAAAAAATTCCGGTTGGACTAGATTCAAATTAATCGGCTCAATAGATCGTCAGACAAAGCGAAAAGTGCAAACACTTTTCAATCAACACAACAATATAATTGGAATCCGCAAATATATGAAAAGCAACGAGCCAAAATACTACAAGGGTAAAAAAAACTCAGCCAAAAGCTTTATTATCCCCACACAAAAATAAGCTTTTACCTTTTAGTTTAGGAAGAGAAGCTAATGCCATCGATGGGAAACGATAGCCTCAAAAGAAAAAAAAGATTGGATTCGAAAAATTAAAAAGAAAAAAGAGGTTTAAAATTAAGGGAAAAACTACCAACAAATAGGAAAGCGACTGCATCACCAGACATGCGATGAGATCCCACAGACCGAACTTTTGACGCAACCATGACTTTTGAGACCCGTGAACCAACGCTTTCAACCTCCAGCTACTATAGTCTCTTAACTTACCTTACTGTTGAAATTTTTTTTGTGTTAATTTTGTTTACTAAAGTATTTGCTTCCAAAACTGTTTTGGTTTGTTGAGTTTCAAACCCAAACCCAATACAATCAATTAAAGATTATATAGAAATCAGTTTAGAGAGATTAAGTTGGTTTAGTCTAACTGGATTCAAATTAATCTAAAATGATTATTGAATCAAGGGTGATTCATCCGGTTTATTTCTAAACATAATCAATTTAAGTTGTTGAATCAAGGGATCTCGTAAAAGTAAATGACACTGGCGTCCTAGTCCAGTTGAAGTTCAATAAGGGATCAGTTATGTATTTAAGCATTATGACATCAACCTTATTTACGGATTGGTTTGAGTTTGACTCTTATATTTGAAAAGTTGGTTTTATCGGGAAAAGGTATGGATTTAGTTTGATGTGACGTACAAAGATAAAGAAAGGTTTTCAGAGAGAGTGTGGGTTGAAACTCTCTCTGTAAGGCCCTCTATTCTCTCTGGCCCCTTGTAGGAAAAAATATTATAGGAAAAAATGTTTGTACCGTTTATTATCACTTCGCTTACTCGATGGTTGATATATTTCTTGGATGGTGGAAGGTGAGGCTAATATAATACTCATGTATTTGTCAAGCACACCCACGAACATACATACTATGTCGCAGACACTCGGGAGCAAGCTAGGCATGCCATCGAACAAATAGCCCACATCACCTAGCATGACGTGGAAACTCTTGCGCAAAATCACCCCAACATGTATATCACAA